GGGGCGCTCGATCTCAATCGAGATTGTACTGAGCAAGAATGCGCTCAACGGCTTGCTCTGCTGAGCGCGCATGCATGGTGGGCTCAAAAGCTGCCCGTGTGCCTGGCACATACACTCCAGTCTCGACCTACGACGACAGGGGGCGGGGCGCAACGCGTGAACGAAAGAGTGAGCGCTTCCAGAACTTTCACAAAGTCAAGAGCTTCAAGCATGTTTTCTCACCAATGCAGATTTCCAACCAAACGCATTGGCCCCTGCAATGTCGGAGGCTGCGTCGGAGGGCGGGGGAGAGAGAGAAGGAGGTGCGCTAGATTTCAGTCCGGAATTTCTCTGCTCATCCTGCCCGTCTTGGACTCGTCTAGGCGCGCTTCAACAGCGCTCACACTCACCGGGATTATCACCGATCATCCACACATCTGCAACATCCTCCGCTCCCAATCCTTGCGCCTGTGCAAAGCCCTTGAGCTTCTTTTCAGCAAAAGCATACGTAGCACGATGAGGTTTGCCGAAAGTCGTCGCTTGCAACTCTCTGCCAGACGCCGCCTTGTACACTGCTCGTGCAGCAAGCTGGAAAGCGCCCTGCCCGAATCTGGGCGTGGGAAAGGAGTTGGTCCAGACTGTGTGCAGTGTTCGAAGCTATTTATGAGCTCGACTGACCAAAAAAAGGGGGGGGGGGGGGGGGGCGCATGCTCACGCAGGCACTCACTCAGATCCTCGTGGGTGAAAAAGACGGGGGCTTGCGGATGCGTGTCATCACCCAGCGTCCCAATCTGACCAGTCGGGCTTCGCAACACATCGCACATGAGCTGAATGTCCCCTCCCCAATCTCTCGAGTCGTGGAAAACGATGACAGCCCCGAAGCGTCTCTCTGACACTGCCTCGTGGTGATGCCGCTGCTCGGCATGACGTTTCAGCCACGTTCGACCTTCACTTAGATTGCCCTCGGGAGCGTCGTGGAATGGCCAAACATCGGACCTCCATGAATGCACCTCGGAGGCTAGAGTGAAGTTTTTGAAGCCGTAGCTAGAGAGGTGGCGGGACGTAATCGGTTCGATGAGCCTGTGCGGAATTACGTCTAACCGGCCTGATGCACTCACCCGCGCATCACATCGTGCACCGTCCGTACTTTGGACTCGGAGGCGCCGCCAAGAACCAGCACGGGTCGATCTGCATACGAGGGCACGAGCTCTTGCAATACTGTGTGCGCTTGAATGATCTGTTCTTCGGAGACCTGTCACGAGCCAAGTGCAAGTCGATCATGATGAGTGCCAGCCGCGCTGGAGATGATGTCGCACAGCTGCTCACCTCACTGCGCGTCAATTCGCCCAAGCGCTTCGCTCTGACAGCTTCTGCGTAACCGCCTCCGTTCGTCAGAAAGACGTGGGGTACTCTGAATGAGAAGGCATGGTTGAGTCTCTGAAAAATGGGCAGAAGACCTTCGATTGGGTTTCCTCCTCTGACAAGAACGCCATCGATGTCGAAGGCAAATGCTGGGATCCTACGTCTGATGCGCTGGTCGGGCTGTGATAAAGATTCTTTGGTGGCTCGTTGATGCAGAACGCGAGATGCCCATGTTGAGCTGAGTGATGACTGTGAGAATCTCCGCTCCCCAGAGCAAGAGACAGTAGCTGCGCTCGTCTTGGGTTGCGATGTCGAGAGGGGTGCACTTGGATTTGAAGGTGGGCCAGCCGTGCTGGACCGAGAAGCGGTAGCTTTCGCTCCGCACCAGCTCGAGTATTCTTGTCGGAAGGGGAATCTCGACCGTGGCTCACAGTACCTTGCTCGCCGCGTGAGCCCACGAGCTTGGCCCGAGAAGCGTCTAGGAGCATCACGTAGAACGCAGCACGTCATGCCGCTATGTCGATGCATACTCCAGGCCTCTCTCAGCCTTGCGTGCCGGCAAGACACTCACAAGTAGCCCGTGCGCCAATGACTGACTCGCGACTATAGCGCCCTCTAAGACGTCGCGATAATGTGATTGCGCAAAGTGCGACGAGGCGGATGAGCCAAGACTAATATCGGCCAGCAATACCGATTGGCTTTGCGCTTTGGCGCAGACAGCAGTCGGGAGGAGGTGCGCCGCGCCGCGCTATATAGCGCTCGTGATTATTGAGACGCCCGTCCGGCCAACTTGATTTGATCTGAAGAACGATGGCGCTACGATCGCGCGGAGTAGACGGAGAGAGATTTTGGTCGCTCTTGGCTGAAAGGTTCTTAGATACTCCAGCGAATGCTAAGTGCGCAGGATAGCTTTCGGGGAAAGCTAACATCTGCACCTTGTATGCGCTTGAATGGAGAGAGACTCAGGCACTTCTCCACCTTTGTCTTCACATTCGTGATGGTGGATGTCCATGTTGAGAAGCTGCGTGCGTCTCGGCATGGCGAGAATGTTGAACTTTTGATTCAAGATTGACATGAAAGCCTGCAACTGGGAGCAACAAGCAACACGAATCGGTCCGTGCACAGCACGTCACGTGTGCGTCCCTAGCTTCTCCGTTTCCGGGCGGACCAACAAACAGCGCGCAGCTCGAGATCATTCTACGAGCTTCAAAAAAGAGACATGACCGACGGTTGGGGAATCGCACGGATTTGTTGAGCTTGGTGACTGTTCAGGTGCCGCGGAGATGGGGCGAAGATTTGACAGACAAACTTCTTCTGGACGCGCGGCTTGCCGCAAATTGCGAATGTTACATCTTCATCCAGGCAGAGATGGCAAAGGCCGCGCGCGCATGTTTGCAGTGAACAACTGATGAGTATGAGCTTGATATTGCGCGGGAGCTAGCCTTGATTCAACTGGAAGTTTCGAAGCGTGAAGACCCAGCATGCAATCTTGAATCGCAATTGAATGTGAATCGTGTGCGTGAATAGGGTGTGAGCGCGCGCCGCGTGATCTGATCACTCGATCCTGCTGCCCGCTGCCATGGATGCCTGCCCTCTCACGCGCGCGTGATGGACGTGTGACGGTAGTTAAATTCTTATTAACATTCAATTCAGATTAAAACTCGATCAGACTCAAAACTCACGACTGACTTGAATGAAGGTGCTGCTAGACTTCTCCTTTGTCCGTCATCATCATTTGCACGACTATTACCATTATTGTGACTGATTCACGACGAGGCTCGCGCCCTAATTAGTGGCTCTTTGAAAGCAGCCATTCCATAGCGTCATGCAAGCCAAGGCGAGGTGGCAAGATGGGTACATGTGCGCACTTGAGGAAGAGGCTTTGGTCCTATAGCTAGCTAGCTAGCTGACTGCATCCCGCTGGGCAGGGCAATCACAATGAAGCGCTGCTTTCATCATCCCAGCAGCAGCAGCAGCAGCAGCAGCAGCAGCAATTAACATCCAGCGCTGCTGGCATCGATTCAAAATTGTCCTTTTGGGACCGGATCTTCTGCAGCGAACAAGCGCGCCTTTTTGGCGCGTCGTGAGAAGCCTACCGTGCGCGTAGTGTATAGCTTGCATTTATGCGCGCGCCGCGGAGGAGAGGTCGCACACCCTAGCTGCTGCTAGACCGGGGCGCACATCTGTGAGGCGTTGGTTGCTGCGACGCGATGGTCGATCCAACAGAAACGGATCGCGGGGCGGGCGAGGCACGCGCACATGAACCAAAAGGTCATGCATGCACTCGCTGCTAAGACTTGGATCCGTGCGTGCATACGTACATGCAGCAAGCTGCTTCACGATTCAAGATTGGGTCGGGTCGAGAGTCTGATGCGCTGCTGCTGCTCCTGCGCCTGCACCGCAATTGCTATCGGCACCTCGCTACGGCGGGCATTCTTGGGTTCTTCCCCCCAGGCACACACACACACACACACACACACACACACACACACACACAGAGCACCTCGATTGCGCACGAGCCGATCTTTTGGACTGGTGACTGGTTTGGATTTGTAGCAGCTAGCTGCACTCTTTCTGACTGTGACTTGTCCATCCCTGACCCTCATCTCCATCTTCTCCGCCCAACACCATACCATCGCTCCGGTGCTCTCTTAGCACTCGCACGCCCACCTGCGTGCCAGAATAGCTTTGTCTGCTTTAGACTTGACAGTGACAGCTCTGCAATCCACTATTCCTGCATCAAGACACTACCAGCTCCATTCTTCGTGTCTTCGCTTTCGGTCCCTTCTCAAAATGGCACCTCAACAGAAGGGCTTCTCATGGTCCAACATCGCCGTCGGCGCAACGATGAAGTGAGTTTGCTCAGCGCAGAGCCAGAATGTCTGGCGTACCGCAGCTTTTCCATTGTAGGGAAGGTGACTGGCTGATGCGCACCTCTTCACCTCATCTTTCTCAGCATGTTCGAAGTGTCGACGCTTGGACAGCCTCTGGAGGTGGTCAAGACGCAGATGGCTTCCAATCGCAAAGCTTCTATGGTCGAAGCGCTCAGGACGGTCTGGTCCCGTGGTGGTGTATTGGGTTTCTATCAAGGTCTGATCCCTTGGGCTTGGATTGAAGCTAGCACAAAAGGTGCTGTCCTCATCTTCACTGCTAGTGAAATCGAAAAGGTCGCAAAGACTGCCGGCGCTAGTCCTGGCACTAGCGGTCTGCTGGGAGGCATGGGTGGAGGTATTGTTCAGGCGTACGCGACTATGGGTGAGTGGATGACCAATTTGGAAGCGTGTTGTTGGTAGCGAAGTTGTTCCTACGCTAGGCCTGCTTTGCAAGCGCTTCGCATGCCCATCGGATGAGTACACGCGAGATCGCATGCCGGATCGACTGGAGAGCAGGCTGTCTCTTTGCAATGCGGCTGTATGCGGTGCTTGACCCGTAGCAGGACGGTGCTTCAATCACACCTTCTAGCGGCACAAGTTGTAGTAGGCTCCAATGGATGCGGCACAACTAGCTGGAGACAGAAGCAGCATTCAGAGTCTGCATGTCAATAACCGAGCAGCCGACGGATTCAGAGCACTCACAACGTCATCGCCTCGCTTTCTCAGGATTCTGCACCTGCATGAAGACTGCAGAGATCACTCGTCACAAGCAAGCAGCTGCGGGTATTAAGCCTCCAGGAACGTTCCAGGTCTTCATGGATATCTATCGCCGTGAGGGAATAAAGGGTATCAACAAGGGTGTAAACGCTGTTGCTGTGAGGCAATGCACCAACTGGGGCAGTCGGTGAGTTGGAGAGCCCCTTGCCGGAGCATCAGGCCGAGTTGCTGACAATTACATGCAAAATGCTTGACTCGCCTGCGCAGTATGGGCTTCGCCCGTTTGGCAGAGACGCCTGTTCGTGCCTTGTCCGGAAAGACGGAGAAGGACAAGCTGAGCGCGTTGGAGAGAATTTTCTGCTCTTCCATTGGTGCGTGTGCGCTGTCAGATAGTATGCCACTGTTTTGCTGAACACTTCGGCTGGCCCAACGGATCCTTGCAGGCGGTGCTCTTGGATGTTGGAATCAGCCCATCGAGGTCATCCGAGTCGAGGTGAGCTGACTGCCGGGATCAGAGACTGTGTTGACTGCGGGCTAGGACGCTGATGACATGGCTCTGCGCGGGGTAGATGCAATCCATGGCGAAGGCTGAGCCAGGATCGAACAGGCCTGCCAAGTTGACAATTGGCAACACGCTTGGTGAGTCAGCAGAGTGGGACTATTAAATGCAGTGCCTGGATCTGATGTGCGCACTGCTTTTGGTCCCGCCTGACAGGATACATCTACAAGGAGAACGGAATCAAGGGCCTTTACCGAGGTGTCACTCCACGTATCTTCCTCGGTGAGTGTCCTTGCCACTGCTAGAGCCTATCACCAGCTCTGATCATTCATGCGCTGCCCACTCTACTGCCTGACTACTTGCAGGCATTTGGCAGACGGTCTGCATGGTCAGCTTCGCGGACAGCCTGAAGGCGTACATTGCACCAGCGGCGGAGAATGCAGCTCACAAGGTAGAGGAGCTCAAAGATGCGGTCAAGGAGAAGGCCTCGTAGGGTGCCTTGTACAGTCGCTCGCTTTTGACGGACGTGAACAAATATTCTGGCGCAAGCAGGCAAGGGAAACGATAGAAAACATCACAAGGCTCTTTGAGCAGCACGCTCCCTCGCTGTTTTCTCCCACGCGCAAATCCAGATGGTGTCAATATGCGGCCGTACATGGGGGTTTTGAAATTGACATCTCTTGCGTCAAAAGAGATTCGTGCATCAGAGCTGTACAGATATCGTTTGGCAGTAGTGCAGGCTCTTTGTGGCGAGGGGATGGGACTGACTGCGTATGCGGGACGGATGGGCGAGTATGCGGCTCATTTGGGAACTCCACCTTCTAAAGATGGTCTAGTCGTGTAGACCGTGACAGAAGAAGGGCGTCGAGACTGGTCTGTGCGGTTCGGAGTTGGTCCTTCTTGATGAGCAGAAGCATTTTTGCTGCCCGGTTGCCCTCGCGCCTCGCTCGCTTGATCTGTAGACGGCGCATGGCGTGTCGTTTGACTGCATGCCCGTTTCTTCTCCAACGATTGCTCGGCCTGTTCTCGCAGTGCGGCATCGTCCTCCCTATCAATCGTCTTTTGCTTCATCAAGAACAAGGCGACGAAGAAGCTGAAAGCGCCCAGACTTGCGAGGAGGATAAAGACGTTTCTGAAACCTTTTCGATAACCTCGTCTAAGGGCTGCAATGTCGTTGCTGTTGAGAGCTTGAGCAGCAGCGCCAGATGAGGCTTTGGTGCCATCGTTGAGAAAAGTGGAAGGGTTGTTGAGCGCTTGTCGGATTCGTTCATCGTCCCAACCGGGCAAAGGTGATAAGAAGGATGAAGCGCTGTTGTTGACGATGGTTCCAGCCAGCGCAAGACCTAGAGCGCCTCCCAAATTCCGCACAAACATTCTCGTGGCAGTCACAGCAGCCATTTGTTTTCGGTCAACGGCACCTTGAATGGCGATCAGGCTCGGTTGAAGCGTTGCTCCCACTCCTACACCTGCCAAGAGTCCAAAGCCGATTTGTTTGCCTAGATTGGAAGACTCGTCCAGCGTGCTGAATAGACCCAGCCCGATCGACCACATCGCCCAACCCAGCAGCAAGATCTCTCGATAGCGCCCTGTCCAGGTGATCAGTAATCCAGAAAGCGTCGAAGCTACGGTCTGGACGACCGTCAAAGGCAGGATCAAAGCGCCGGCGACCGTTGGTGTGTAGCCGTAAGCAAGTTGGTAGAACTGCGGAATGAAGTAGACTTGGGTTACAAAGAGCCAACCGTTGATGGTTTGAGTGATGCAAGCTCCGCAAACGATGCCAGATTTGAATATTTGCATGGGCATCAAGGCTGGTCTCGAAGGTTTGTCGCCCCAGTACTGCCAGAGACAAAAGACGAATGCTGTTGCGACACCGATCAGAAGGGGCACGAGCACGTGCACGCTGACCCAATCGTAATCGCTTGCCCAAGTCAGACCGAGCACCACCAAAGTCGCGGCTGCGAGACTCAGAAGCGCTCCGAGCCAGTCTATGGCCACAAATTTCTTGCGCCAATTTCCCGTCACTGGTTTCAAAGGCATCCAGACCCACGCTGCGACTGCACCCACGAAGGAGCAGGGGAGCATCAGCCTGAAGATGTTTCGCCATGACGAGTTGGAGGCTAGCGCTCCTCCTATCACTGGACCAACTCCGTTGGACAATGCGACGACTCTACGAAGCCACCAGAAAGAAGTGTGGTCAGTCTGCGGGTCGGACACTTGTTGAGGCGGCCTATATGGTTCTACAGGCGTAAAAATCATTTGCGTTCTGCGGACTCACGCTCCAAGAATGCCCTGATATTTGCCGCGTTGCCTCAAAGACACGACGTCTGACACCTTATGGTCATGACTCCCTGCGGCGTCAGCGACTCCACTCACCGCTCAGCATGCTATTCAAGCTCATGAGAGATGACTCACGATGATCTGTGCCAGGGTCATCAATCCGCCTCCGCCCACACCTGTTATGGCTCTGAACACGCTGAGTGTGATGATATCGGGGGCCAGACTAGATGCCAAGGATCCGAGGAAGAAGACGGCAAGACCAGCCATCAAGAGCGCCTTTCTACCCGTTATGTCGCTTACTCTGCCGTACAAGAGCTGACAAGCCGTGCTTTAGCCAGCGAGGCCCAGACGCAAAACACTCAGCCAAGGACGCAAACAAGACAGGATCCGAATCGGCTTTACAGATCTCGGTATGAAGTGAAGACTCACCTGCTGATGAAATATGCGGAGCTCACGAAAGAGGATTGAGCACCCGCGTTGAAGTCGGAAGCTATGATTGGTAGCGCAACGCTCAGTGTCGTCTGATCCATCAAAGCCACAAAGTCGATCCCTGCCAACGCCAAGAAGATCTGGCCAGCAGGTAGCAGGACCGCGCAAAAATTGGATCAGGATCAGCCGAGTAGAGCTGCTCGAGACTAAATGTCGACGATCCTAGCTACGCACGGGAATCAACTTTCTAGGCGGGAGATAGTTGGTCTGCTCGTTGAATGCGTGACTTTGCTTCTCCACATCTTGCGAGACAGGAGAAGCACTTCCGGACGTGTTTGGAGATTCCACCCTAGACGCAAGCCCTTCTGGGCTGTTGATCAAATCCATTCCACCAGACGAGAACCTTTCTCCAGCAGATGTGGGAGCGGATCCGATCTTCGGTACGCCTTTGACGTCTTGTTCCGCTGACATTTTGGCAAAAGATTTGAGCACCCTCGTTCGAGTCAATGTGGTGCGCTCTCCGCAGGCCTGTCTGCGCAGTTGGCGCGTTTGTGCAACTTGGCTTTATACGTGTAGAGCGAGTGATCGAGTTGACGAGGCGGTTGATGTTGCAGCCTCTTGACTTGAAGCTCGACGTACAGCAGATGCAGCAGCGAAAGCACCCTTAACTCTCTCGACCAAATTGTCTCGGGACGTCACTCGAAGGCATTTGGCTTGGTGCCCGTGTTGCTGGAGCTTGAGGCAGCTTCAAATTCGCAAAATTCGCGAGAGAGGCTTCAAGAATCTTTTCCTCCTCCTGTCGGTGTCGGAGTGGAGGTCAGCATCGCACAAAGTTGGGGAGGTGAGTCGAGCGTACAAGCTGCACTGTTAGAGACTTTTTACGAACGACCTTGCCGGTAATTCGCGGCTGCCCTAGCTGTGCCAGGGCTACTTGATGGGAAGAAAGAATGACGGCTGCTTGCCCCATCGCCTCCGTTGATGGCGACATGTCAGACGCTACGGATGCGCTCTTCCATCCAGACGGTCGGCATTCTGCGCCATGACTGCACCCGTGTGGACGTGAACGATGCTGCTTGCTGCTTGCTGGCTGTGGAAGGTGGATGCGAGAACGCAACGGTGATTGAGAAGGGGGACGCTCGAGTTGGAGTCCCATGCAGCAGCATGCACCTCAAAGCTCGTGCATGACGCATTCACTCCCCTGATTCTTCACAATTTCTTGGGCAGGTCTCCATACTTGTGCGCTATTTTAGCGTCATCAGACAACGTCGGAGTGCAAAGCGGGTACCCTCTCGGTGCCTTTTTCTCTTTTGGTAAGCTGCTACCTACCTTACTGTACATCTATCTCCTCTGGCACCTTTTCGCCTCTTCTTCGACGAGCCCTCGACTCTGCATCGACCTCGAGGGCAAAGATGCGCGCTATTCCAGGATCGACGCACCACGGCCGTCGTCCACGTTGACTTTTTTTTCTTGGCAAACAAAGCGTGGATATCTTCTTGCCAGCATCCGCCGGCCCCTTTCGCGCACCACTTCTGCTCGCACAGTAGCGCCGATATGAGGTTCGATGTTACTGCGAGAACGGGTAAGGTACTCTTTAAGCTTGTGCTTCCCTCGCTATGCTGGCAACTTTGAGGTAAGCGGCCCGAGTACAGTGCCAAAGCATAATTGTCATTGTTACAGCGACAGTGTGCTGAGCGTGAGTGAGAGGCGCAAGCGGAACAAGCGCAAGCGCAAGCGCAAACGCAAAGGCGGGCCCACGCTCGTCTGCAGCGCTCACCAAGATCATCTCGGAGCCTTTCTGGCTGCAGGTGGGTGCTCTCGCGCCTTGCGATCAGACATTCACGCCATCACGTCACTCATCTTCGAGATACATTCTGGCGACGACTGCTGCTGCGCGAACGCTGCTCGCTTATGTTCCTCTGACCCTTGGTTGTGAGGCATCTAGTCATGGCGACATGGGGAAACCTAGCTTGACCTGCACCGCGAATAGAAACGCGCCGTCGGCTAGACGACGCGGCAGGAGATCCACGTTGATGACGGTCCGCCGTTGCACTTTTCTTTCGACTTCGGAGTCGTGATGAGGAACCTCGTTGAGTAGCTGTGCAGCCTCGAGGCTGTACGAGGGCATCAATCCTGCTGCTTGCGCTACACAGACTTAGATTGATGTGCTAGCTTGGCACATTGCGCGTTCGCAACAAACACTCACAATTGCTCGATACATGGCATCTGAGCAAGCTTGCCAAGCATGGCGTTCATCTACCTCCCTAGCTTACCCTTCTAGGCACTGCTTCTACACCAGCAATGCTGCAGCGGTAAATGTATGAACAAAGTTCACGATCAATGAGGACTTGACAGGCGTCTGCAGCTTGTAGCGTCCAAAATTCTGGACGTGCGAAGGCGGATCTGCACTCAAGACTCATGGTCCAAGGGGGTGCACGGTGCATAACGTGGCCAAACTTGCTCAACAGCTCTCCCTTCACTGGTGCGATGGGGGTCTTGCAACACCTGCTGAACGGCGCATTCTTCGCTTGCTCCTCTTCGAGCTGACAGCGAAGACGTGCTCCTCTGCGATGTTGGGACAAGCAAAAAAAAATCTTTGCGTCGGACCGACTTGACCATCGATTGGTTCCCAAGTCGACCTCAAAAGGAAGGTCTTTGAGGTGCGCGACAAGTCGCTCCTACTCGTGAAAGCTGCCTTCTCGACAAGCACTCACACAAGTCAGCTTGATGGAAATCCCGGCGACCACCCACCACACCCTTCACACCATGACACCTGCTCCTAACAATGTCTTTCGCGGCGAGCGGTCCCTCCATGATGTGAGTCTGAGCGCCCCAACTCGCCATACTTAGGACAATGAAGTAAATTGATGCCATCTTCGTTCCCGCAGTTCTACGACCCTGAACAGAACCCGCCTACACCGCTCGTGGAGCTACCAGAATCGTTGAATCCCTTCTTGCGCTCACACAATGTTCACGTCTACGTCAAGCTTCACAGCGCTTTGCCCGCCGGCAACGTCAAATCCTTGCCGGCGCTCAACATGTTGCAGCAAGGCGGAATCGATGCGGGTTTCGCGCTCGAAGGTCAGAGCGCGGCCCAGATCTCGCGTCGAAAAGAAGGCTCGGAAAAGGTTTCTCGAATCGTCGAATACTCTAGCGGCAGCACCGTCATTTCGTTGAGCATCTTGGCGCGCATCATGGGCGTGGATGATGTCTCTGCCTATCTCTCGAACAAGACTTCGGACGCAAAGTTGAAGCTCATGCGCTTCTTTGGACTCAAATTGCATCTCTTTGGAGGCCCGTCGCAGCCTGAACCTTTGGATCCGCGCGGCGGTATCTATAAAGCGCTGCTACGGGGTAAAGAAGAGGGGTCTTTCAATCCCGACCAGTACGCCAACCCGGCCAACTACGAAAGCCATATGCGATGGACGGGACCTCAATTGGCCAAGCAGCTGCCCGAGATGGACATTTTCGTTGCTGGTATGGGAACTGCTGGAACCATGACGGGAACAGGTTTGGCTCTCAAGAGGCTTTTGCCGACGGTCAAACGCATCGGTGTGACCACAGCACCTGGCGATCGAGTCCCAGGACCTCGATCAGAAGCTCTTCTGGCTCCGGTAGAATTCCCATGGAGAGATGCGATCGACGCAATGGAATGGGTGGGATCTGCCGACTCTTATGCGCGATCCATCGAGCTTTGCAGAACGGGATTGATGTGCGGCCCTTCGTCCGGATTCAACCTGCAGGGGCTGTTCCAGCACCTTCGAAGACACATTGAGGTCCACGGCGACCTAGACGCTCTGCGCAAGCAGCCCGGAGCACCCATTCACGCAGCTTTCATGGCTTGCGATGGACCTTACCAGTACATCGACGAGTACTTTTCCAAGCTGCCGACGGAAACTTTTCATCCCATTCAGAACGACGTTCTCATTGGTGTCGACCTGTACCGTTACGACGACGCGTGGGAGCTGCAGCCCCACAAGGCCTTCGAGCTGGCCTATACTTACAAGCTGGAACAGTGCGAAGCTAGCAGCAATGAGGAGCACAGCAAGTCGACGTCGACGAGCGGATCCGCTTCCGTTGAAGAGCTTGCTGATCGACTGGCTGATTTGCGTCGTCCTTCGGCCACACCGAGCGACATCAGCGTAGAGAGCAGCACATCCTCCATCTCTTCTTCTTCCTCCGCATCCGACGCAGGTTTTAGAGCGTCAAAATCCTCCAGTGCTACTTCCACAGCTGGTACGTCTCCCGAGAGGAGCAGCATAGCCACGCTTCGCAAAGGCGTCAAGCTTCTCGACCTGAGAGGATCCAGCGTTAAATCTTCCAGATTCTTTCAAGCCACATCTGTCGAGCTGCAGCACGTCAGCGAAACTTCTACGGATCCCTTTAGCGACCCCCATTTGCTCGCTGAACAGTGGAAAGAGCTCGATTCGCTCTTCGAGCCCGACAACTCGCGAGGTCTAGAGATCTTGAGCAGCAGCAGCAGCGTCGATTCGCAAGACCAACCATCAGCAGCAGCAGCAGCAGCAGCAGCAGCCCAGATTCTGGTCGTCTGTCAAGATGGAGGCGCTTCGCGCATCGCCACTTCCGTCCTCAGACATCGCGGCTACGAGGCCAGCTTTGTGGCAGGAGGAGCGTCCAGCTGGACACAACGTGGCTGGCCAGTACAGCTCTGATACCATCCCACACTGCTTCTTGCTTCTCACCGCTCTTCCACTCCGCAGACCTTTCCGCTTCGCGCAACCCGCCTGTAGACCTGAGCCTTCGCACGTCTCGTCTTTTTTTTTTTTTAAACTTGCTGAGCACAGCTCGATCGAGGAGATTGCCATGTGGATCATTTGTTTCAGGTTCCCTCTTGTGAAGTGCGCGCTGACCGACAGGCAGCGAGCCACATTTTCCCTAAGGGAGCGAAAGTCCCTCGGCACGGAGAAAGTTGAATCCTGGTCGCTTCGAAAGCTGCGTGGATTCGCATGTATCACACTGGCGCCGGCATGGGACCAGAATCGAGCTCCCTCTACACCGCATGACATTCCTCTGCAAAACATTTGGCGATTTGCAAGTGCCTGAGGTTGCAACTACGTGTCTGTCCCCCTAGCCCCTCCCTCCCCCCAGACCCTCCTTTCCTGCACTCCTCGCATCCGATCCCGCAGCCTTGTTCTGAGCATTTCAGCAAATACATTCTCGGATATCCTTCCATTCCTTGCTCTTCCGTCGTCTCCTCGCCCAGTCCCACCTGCCGCCCACGATCCTCAGGAGAGCGTTTTCAAAGATCTTCCCATCCTTTTTTCGTTCTGATCAGCCAATATCCAGCCTCTTTACGACTTGGCGGGCCCAACTTTGCTCGCCGCGCTTTCCTTTCTCAACGTCATAGCAGCGACCCTGGCGTTTAATCCGCCGTATTCCTCTCTTCAGTCGCGACGCTCGTCGCAACACCCGCAGCGCTCGCAGCGACCCACTCTCCCAACCTCTTTACAAAAGCTCCTGCCCGCTCCGTACCTCCGAGTCCTAGAGGTTTCGCATACTTTACGGGCAATGCTGCAATCAGCGTCTGATCCGAGGCGGACGGCACGGGACCATTGTATCGAAGCTTGCTCAGCGTTCCAGAGAGACGGACGGTCAGGTTGCCTGCATTGATTGTCGAGGAGGCGGAGGAGGCGCTGGCTTGAGAAAGGTGCTTTGTCCGAGCCTGTGGAGAGGTGTAGAGCGTGAGATCGTACGTTGAATTGCTGCCACTACCATTGTGCGGCAGGGCCTCTGCAGCTTGATCCTCTGCAGGTCTGGCTAGTGCAATATCAATGCCCGTCAAGGCGGAAAGCAGCTCCAATTTGCCTTGCACTTCTTGTTCCCTCCCTCCAACAATCCCATCAGTACCGTGTGTCCCGCTACCATTGACATGCGATGACAGTCGTTCGGAAGCAGGCGGAGGACTGGGACTCAACACGTTCTCGTCAGCTCTCAGCTTTTCTTGCGGATTCCGAGCGGCTGCAATCCGACCCCGTGATGACAGCGTTAGAGCGTCCAAGTCGGGCGCGCTGCCGCTGAGAGGAACAGGTGAAGAGCTTTTACGTGCTGCTGCTGCTGTTGCTCTGTTGTGCGCGTGCAGACGCAGCGAAGGGTCCGTCTGATCTGATGCCTGATGTCAAGATCGGTTAGATGGGCGTACGAGACGGCGTCCACTTTCAGCTCAACTGCACGTCGATACAGAATGCACTCTGAGCGGCTGCGCTGCATCGGTCCTGACGCTCACCCGAATCTGATCCCAGACCGCCTTCTTGTCGAAGCTCTTGAGTGCCTTGTCAAAGTCGAAATCCTCCTCGTACTCTTGATTTGCTTGCGTCTGACTCGCGACGAGATTTTTGGCTTTGCTTTCCTTCTTGGGCGTCACAGACATGGCCTTGGGACCTTTGGGAGGCTCAGCATGAGCCAGCGAAGCTGAAGCTGCAGCGACTGCTGCTGCCTTCGCAGCCCTCTTCTTTGAAGCTTTGCTCGATGTTGTCTGAGGAGTTGATGGGGTAGGGGGGTAGGAGACGAGGGAGGAGCTGGGCGTCGAGCCTGAAGGGACTGTCAGTTGGTTGTACGAGCTTGAAGAGGCGCCGACGTTGGCCGTGCGCTCCCCAATCATTTCAATACCAGCGATCTTGCTTCGATCCACTGTTTCCAAGGTGTTTCCATCGTCTAGCAAGAGCTTGAGGATGCCGCTAGATGCGTCTATGCTTTGTATCCTACCGACTAGAGTATGGGAAGATGTGCCGCTAGAAGGATGCAGGGTCAGACGGACCCGAAGACCGATGTATGCTGATGACATGATAGGACGTGATGCGCTGCAACTGAAGAGCAGCGATGAGAGGTCGACGCGATGGGATGGCTGATGATGCGGACGCTTGAGAACACGGCAAGTTCGACTGTCAAGCGTGTCCTGGCGCTTGTTCCGATTCTGATGGTGACCTTGCACTATTGTGACCCGAAAGGCAAATCGAATCACTGGCAGGCGCTCTGCCTCGGCAAGCTTCGGTCTGAGACGAGTGAGATGAGATGATGGATAGAAGGCAATCCTGTGAAATCGTGAGCGTTGGTGTTGCAGCTTCGCGTGCTGCGTACGTGTTGTGAATGTGCTGGTGTGCGTGAACACCGGGGCACGATCACGTGTTCGGATCTGCCACGCCGCGCACGGGCTTTCGCTTGCGCGCTGCTGCTGGTTATGTGTTGCACCGCGGCTGCGAAAGCTTTCCTACGCAAGTCTTCGAGTAAGGCTGCTGCTGCTGGTCGACGTGTCATGCGAATCACTGAATGTCCAGACCTGCCATCTTCACAAACACGACTGCTGGTGCCTTCCGGCTGCCTCCCATCATCACTTCGCAAAGCCTGTATTCGCGGTAGTACAGGCAGCCCATCTCGCCAAGATGACGTCGCTTCGAGCTGCACAGATTCATTCAGCTCGTGCCACCTTGGCAATGCTGCTGCTTTTGGGCGTCCTGAGCACCCAACTCGTCCTCCTGGTCAGAGGTGCGAGCGCCAAGGACTACACGCTGAAGTCACTGCAGCACAACATCGATCTGTCCGGTAGCACAACGAGTATCTCAGAAGTGCACGAGGTCGAGCTGAACTCTCCCGAGCTGTACGCCAATGATCCGCCCGTTTACCATTTTCTTCTCAGCGCGGAAAAGGCCAGGGGATTGAGTTGGATGGAATGCACCGCTAAGCTAGGAGCCGGCATGCAGAGTACCGATAGAGCTATCCTACCTGTCAAGCGACACTTGTCGCCCGATGCTTCGGGTTTGTCCAGCTTGGGTAACGCGACCAATGCGCCTGGTGTGCACTTCCAACCCACCTCCACTCCTCACCTCTTCTCCATCGATTTGCCGCCTCGATTTTTCCAGAAACAACACCCCGAAGAGCCAATTCCTAGTCTGGTGCTGCAGATCAACTATGTCACGCTCCACCAGAGTGAGCCTTTGCCCAAAGCTGTGGCTCAAAAGGAAGAGATGTTCTTGCATTGGACAGGCGACGCTGTGCCGCTCGCATTCTATGGAGCCAACAAGGCAAGGACGAAGATTCGGTAAGTCATGACAGGGTACCTCGCACAAGGTGTCGCGAATGATGCATTCACGTGCGCAAGCTAGACGCATACATGCTAATGAGTGAGCCCTCCTGACCCACTCAGCACATCGACTCCAAAGATCCTTTCGCATTCCCTCTCTCCCGCCACCGCAAGCTCGCCCAAAGCCGAAAATGCCGATAGCGAAGCGACTAAATCGGGAGCTGCAATCACCTATGGGCCCTGGGTATCGGTACCATCCTTCTCAGACAGCCCATCTCTAGCTCTCGAGTCGCGCCGCGCAGCATCCGTCCACTACAAGCACGACGCGCCAGTGATCAGCGTGGTTCGAGCGGATCGGCACGTCGAGATTTCCCACTGGGGAGACAATCTTGCCATCGACGATCAGCTCTGGCTGCGCAACGACGGACCGAAGCTCAAGGGACATTTTTCGCGCATAGAGCATCAGATGGCACAGATGTACAACCGAGACAATTCTCATACGCTCAACAGTCTGCTCTTGCACCTCCCACCTGGAGCCAAGGACGCTTACTTTGTCGATGCGATTGGAAACATTTCGACAAGTCACTTCAGACCTACACCAAACGCTCCTCAGTACATCCATACAGCCCCTCACAAATTGGCAGCTCACAGAGCTTCCTCTTTGGATCTGGTACCTCGCTACCCCTTGCTGGGAGGCTGGAATTTCACCTTCAGTATCGGCTATCACCTCAACCTGGCCAAAGGCAGCTGGGGCAAGAGAGTGCTGGTAGATGGACAGGAGAGGTATAGCGTCGCTGTACCATTCTTAACTCCCATTACTGATGTGGCGGTTGACTCTGCTCGAACGACCATTGTGCTGCCGGAGGGCGCAAAGTGAGTGTTGAGATCTATTGTCGAGCGACTTGGACGCCGCACCTGAGCCCTGCTCACATTCCTTGCTTGCTTTCGCTCATGTTGCAATGTGCCGAATCAAGGGACATTACCTACGCCGCGCCTTTTCTGCTGGACAGCGTGGCGCAATCCATCTACACCACCTACCTCGACTCGACCGGTCGACCATCGTTGGTGTTGGAAAGAAAAGCATGCTCGGATCATCATGGACGCAACGTGTTTGTGACGTACAAATTGGACAAGAAGGATCATTATAGGAAACCGGCAGTCATTACTGCCGTCTTTTTTGCCGCCTTTTTGGGCGCGGCCTTGGCTAGGAGGTTTGAGGCTAGAATCAAGACGTAGCGTTCTAGCTGCGCAGAGTCGCTGGGATTCCCAATCGGACACTCGAGGGTTGCACGCTTTTTGTTAAAAGCCGGCAATCGTGTAGACGAGCGATGAATGAAATGAAAATGGCAACTTGTTATGTCGTTGCGCGTGCGTGCGTGCGGGCGTGCGTGCGGAAATGTGTGCCGATGAAAAGCGTTGATGACCCGCACTCACGCTGTGAGCAAGTGATCCGGAGATGCACGACTGTAATCACGAGCCGTTCGAGGTAGGGCTCATTGTGGCTAAAGCGATAATACGGTGAAACATGTCCTTGGCATCTTCGCACGAGGTATGGGGCGCACGAGCATTGAGGTACAGAAGACGAAAGGTTGTGTAAGTAGGGGGCTTGGGCGAGTGCGAGAAGGGCAAAGCGGCAGACAGGAGGGATGGGAGGCGAGGCAAGCAGGAAACGAGAAGAGGGTAGGAGGTGTGAGAGGGAAGAATGACGTGAAAGACTGGAGCGCCTTTGGCAGCGCTAGAAAGTGCCTCCTGACTTGCTGAGCTGACCGTACTCTTTGAAGAGGTCGGGCAGGATGGAAGCCAAATGGGTCATCTCCTGCGAGTCGTGGAAGAATTGCTGCAGAGAGAGGGGTCTACCTGCGATGATGTTTTTGATGCCCAGCAAGGCGGCAATCTGGTTGATGGGAAGGAATTGACCCAGAATAGGAATCTGCACTTGAACATTGTTTCCCAAAAAGTAGCGCGAACGCAAAATCAGACCGCCGGGAACTTCGTGCCAAAAGTGATACATGTTTGCGATCTTCAACGGCGTTCCTTGAGCGTAGATCTCGCCAGATGCGGAAGCGACGATGCCGTTGGGTGCCAATTGAGTCGGATCCAACCCGATATCGCTGACGTTTTTGAAATGAATATCAATGGGCAGCAATTGATCTCCGATGATCTCGTTGATGTGATGAACCGCACCGATGTACTTTTGTTGGTTCAAGAGATTGGGATTGTCCAGCCTGTCCTTGTAGGTCGAGTCGATGGAGACGTGTCCCCAAGGATGCCAGAGGGAATAACGAACGCTTGCGGCCGAATGCCACCAGAACCACCAGGTGATCATTTCGCCAGTAACGCCTGGCCAGTAAGTCTTGCTTGCTACGTAGCCTCCACCATCGGGGTAAGAGCACCAGCCGCTCTCTCCGGGCAGTTCGTTGGTGATGGGCGTTTGCAAACGACGAATGTCCGAAAGATCTTGCTTCAAGGCTTGAGTGTTGCAGTTCAACGACTGCTTTCCAGCATCGATGGCTTCCTTGTAGAGGAAGAGATCGGGTCGAAAGTACTTTGCGAAGGGTTGACCGGCGATGTTGCGCTGATTCTTGACCAGATTGTCTTGGTATTGCAGAGAGTAGTACGAATTGGGAAGAGGTCCGGTGCTGTGCTCAGATGAAACGAGACTCGTGGTGGGATCAGCACTGACGATCTTCTGTGCAAAGCAATGAAAGGGTGGGAGCATTCTCTTACTCACGTTGGTAGAGTGGGTGCACCGTGGGTTGTGGAGGCGATGCCGAGCGCCGCAGCGATGATGGAAGCGACAACAAACTTCATCGCGTTTTGATGTACAATGAAGCAGGAGGGCTATGGGGTGGGTCAGAGAGGATTGGAGGAGTGAGCGTGGGGGAAAGTAGTAGAGATGGTTAGGAGGATGGGTGAAGAGGCGGTGGGGGCTGACAGTTGTGGTCTGAATTTCTCTGTGTGTCTCGCTCTTATACAAAAGTCACTTTTGCGGTCTTGCGAGAAAGGCAAGGCAAGGGCAAAGGAGAGAGTCTGAGTGTGGATGGCACTCACACTCATCCGACTCGCATGCCTTTCATCAATGCCGCAGGTACGGGGACGGGGACGGGTACGGGGTAGCGTCTACTCGCTGGTTTTCCCCGCATCCCAGCAGCAGCTGATGCGCATGTACTGTATGTCGAACTCACATCCTCCACCCTTCCATACGAGGCCTTTGCACTGCGTCGCCACCAGAAGAGTCACAAGTGCATGAACCGTACCTACAGACAGAGAAGAGCTGAGATTTGCCGTGTAGTGAGCACAGGCACCCACTACTCGCCGCTGTGATTGTGTATCCAGGCGAAGATGTCCGAGCACCATCCGCATGGTGGCAGTCACAGTGTGAGTGTGAGTCTCCACTCGAGACTTGCATCCGCCGCAAGGCACAAACACAAGAAAGGCCCTTCATCTGCCTCGCATCACACAGACACGGACCATTCTCTCTCTTTCTCTCTCTCTCTCTCTCTCTGAACTATTCCTTCTCCCTCTTCATCCTCTACTCTCACACCGCATAGCCACATACATGATTCTCCACCTTTGAAATCCCGAGCGCTATAGCCAACGAAGCGAGGTCTCGAATGGCCGATCCCCAGCTGCAAATGCGGGGTAATTGAAAAAAAAGGCGGAGAGAAGCGCATACGTGAAATGCGGCAAGTGCGGAAAGCGCGGAAGAGCGATACAATCATAGAAGCAGCATGTATATGCATGCACCCATACAAGCCTACGGTATACAGTACGTGGGTGCACGGGCAGGCATGCAGTACACGTGGCTGTCTCTCACATTTTCCCACTCGTCATTCAATTTCTGGAAGGCAGTCCCTGTTGACCTGTGACTGCACCACCGCTCACTTGTGATTGCGCACACACCTCGCGCGAGCCGGCCTTCCAATTCATATGCCTCCTCAAGTCTCGAAGAAAGCCTTCTGTGTGCGGATGCTCATAAGGCTTTGGGAGAGTCCCTCCCCCCATTCACATGCCTGAATATCGGGGGACTATTCGCCGCACTTTGCGCCGGGCCCCGCCTTTACTCTCTTCACTGCCATCATGCGATTACACCGCCAATATACTCCTCTAATCTCTTCGTAGAGCGGCCCGCTCTCTCAGTCCTGCAGCACATCCTGTAGAGCTGCAGCGGTGTCGGCACACCTTGCTTCGGGTTCATTTCATCACAAGACCCATCCGACACACCTTCTTGACAGAGGTCAAAGCATTCTGGACATACATTACATTCTTGATTGTGACTAGTAAGTGGCTCGCGCCAACAAACTCGGACTAGCTTGCGCCCAAGCCGGACTTTGTCCTGTAGAAGCCGCGTGGTCGTCGCGCAGGTTGTCTTCCTTGAAGGTCCGACCATCCCTTCTAAACCTGAGATAGGCAAACGTGTACATGTCGTTCGTTTTTCTTTTCGCGCCGCGGGCGACTCGACTAGGTGCTCGAAAGTGGGGATGTATGCGCTGCCAGAGCACATACAATCGCTAGCCCAGGAGCAACTCGTAGATGATCACAACGATGTTGAGAGCGATTAGCGGCACTGAGTACGTTGTAGAGGCGGGCAAAATTCTGTCAGGGCTTCCGTATCAGTCGGAGCCAAGCGAGACCGTGGAGCCGCGAGCTTAATCTCGCTTGACGCAAAGACGCCATCACACACTTACCCCTCAACAACATCCGCACAGCTCCTATGAGACTGATCAGCCTCGCCTTGACGCCCGGTCCTTCTGAGCCCAATTGTTGCCCATTGAATCCTGCAGGATCGAAAGCTGCTGCGCTGTTCGGTTGTGTGGACACTGTGGACCAACCCACTATGCCGCAATGTCGCGATTGAGAAGAGGTGCGTATGGTCAGCTTGGCATGTCATCCGTGTGTCGGAGGTTGTCGCGGGTCATCCATCGTGTGCGCCTCTGCTCTCTGCAACGAGACGGGACGCGAGTAAGGCGACAGCCCGCTCCACGGCGGAAGTGGCCCTTGTCCAGACCGAAGGATGGGCAACCCGCTCCATCAACGCACGAATCGACCACCCAGCTCAGACCGGCCCAAGAGTTGCCATGACCTCCACCACTTATCGCACGCAATGACAACAAATGCACATCTCCACTCACCTCTGGCCAAGAAGCGCTCCTCGTTCAAAATCGCAATGGCATTGACCAGCAAGAGGGAGATGTAGAGCAAAGACCCCAGTGTGGATGCCATGCTGGTCGAACGGGCAGTCGCCTGCTGACACAAGCTCTGCAGTGTTCCCTGGGGCGGCGAGAAGGATCCAATCCTCGCGGACGGCGTCTAACAGTCGACGCACGTGCTCCTCCCTAACTCGTACGTCCCAACGATGGGCCCAACAGCTCGCCGGTGTGATCTTCCTGTTCTGTTCTAGATTTTTCCTAGCCAGCTTACGACTCGCGAGCGGGGGCAAGTGGAGAAGTCTTCGGCAATGTGTGTGCGGAGTCCTCAACTCGCGAGTGGCATTGTCACAGTGATCGAGCTTGACGGGATAGTCTGGAGGGGAAACGAGAGCACGAAGCTGCGAAAGAACTCGAAAGTCGCAACTCACGAGTCCATCCGTCGTGAGTCTGAGATCGACGTGCTCCGTGCTTGCATGCGCGGTGCCGCGGTGTGCAATGACAACGATGACTGCGCACGGACTCGCACTCACGCTTCTCGCACGAAAGGAGCGCAACCGAACCTGATGCACAATACGACTTCCACCAAAGCATACATGCAGGCATGGGTCTTCGAACAGCTTCTTCACACCTCCTCCACTCTAGCTCTATCACCTATACACAGTCCAAAGCAGCCGCTCTTGTCTTCTCACTTCAACACCCATTGAGCAACCTCGCTGCTGCTTGGGTCACAGAGCACAGAGCGTGCACTTTGCCAAGATGTATGCCGACGTGGATCCTACGCAAGATACGGAATTGTAAGTGGGAGCGATTGGTCAGACTGGCACAAGAGCGGGGACCTGTTCAAGCTGAGCGATACACGACTTTGCGCTTCTTCCTTGCTCCGATGCGCGTCTGGCACAAAGTCACGATGCTCTACGCAAGCATGGCATCATCCCGCCGAAACCTCCTTCGCGCTCTCCCTCGCCCGAATTACCTAGCGAGTCCGAACGACGAAATGCCAAGCTGCACGCTCTTCCCATCCACTCTCTCCAACATCATCTAGACACCGCTCTGGACTCTCACGATGCTCAACAAGTGGAAGAGATTCAATTCATCCTTCGTCAAAGGGCAAAGGCAGAGTTGAGACAGAAGAGAAGGAATAGATTTGGCAGAGTCTATCCGATTCAGAGACCGGATTATACGAGGGAAATCACCGAGGCTAGCAAGGTCGAGGTCGATGAAGATCAGAGTGACGAGGATGAAGGCGACGAGGAAGAGCGCGAACAATTTGGACGCGGCCTGAATGGCAACAGTGCGCAAGGAGATCCGGCGAAAAGGAAAGGCACCGGAGTGGTTTGCTTCCTCTATAAGGACGGGTGAGTAAATATCTCGAACCAGCCTACTTCAAGCCTGTCGCAGGAGCCTTGCAGTCTTGGCAAGGCTTGCAAGTACTAAGTCTTCTGCCGTCTGGGCCTCGTTGGACAGGATGCCAACATGCGAGCTCTTGAAGGGCTACCTGAACACATTAGCCGAGAGGTATCCAGCGACAAAGTTCGTCAGCATAGTTGGGGACAAGGTGAGTAAAATCTCAGCCCGTCTTCCGCTACTTACCGCTCGCTGAAAGAGAGCACGTTGCCCTTGAATTTCACTTCGACAGTGCATACCCAATTATCCGGACAAGAATTTGCCCACATTGTTGATCTACAGGAATGGGGAGCTGCATAGGCAAATGATAGGTCTCAGACCCGAGATTGGTCTAAGTGGGATGGACACCAAATTGGAGGGTGGGTTTTCTCCTTCGTCCTCTATTATCGCCACTTCTGCAACATTCGCTCGAAGCTAATGTTCGATATTTGGATACCCCCTTTTCGTACAATCTTCAGACATTGAGCTGGTCCTTACAGCAGTGGGCGCATTGGACCGACCACCCCTACCCTCGCAGCCCACACTAGGGCGAGAGGAAGACACTTCCGATTCGGACGATTCAAGCGAGGAGAACAAGACGAAGGCAAAGAGCATCAGGAATGCCACGGGCAGAGGGACTGGAGTGCTTGGCGCTCCGACGGATAGGCGGCCAAGCGCCAAGACGCAGGAGGAGGAGGATGCGGAGCTGGATTGGGATCTGTAATGCGACTCGTGCGTGGCTATAGACGTTGAGAAAGGCGCTTTTGCTCATCACTCGCTTCTCGTTCACCCATGATCCAAAGGAGGACCAGCACGCTCTCGCTGATCAACAAGCGACAATACCTGCCAATGAGACATTGTCAAGGTGAAGTCCGATGAGAAGGCCTTTTCGATGCAATGCAATGTGATTCTTTTGGCACGAGGGCGGGTAGTCCCTCTCATCACCTTTTGTCGTGTCGCAAGCGCACCACATCTCTAGATGATAGGCTTCATCTTGTACATCTTGGACGTATCAGGCTCGATCTCGACATCCTCAAGGAAAGGCTTGATGGGGTACATGTTGGAGGACCCCAGCGCAGCGTCCGCTTCCTTGAAAGGAGCAGCGCCGGTCGAATCCTTTGCGGTCGATTTGGACGGCTTCTTTGAGGCAGATGCAGAGCCAGCAGCATCCGATGGGCTATTCTGGTCCTTGGCTTTGGCTCTGGCAGCTTGTGCAGCAGCTTTTCTTCCCTCTGTACCTCCATCATCCGCAGCATTCTTGCTCTGCGCAGTAGCTTCACGTCCATCCGGAATCCTGATAAATTCCCTCTTGCCATCTTTACCCTGCGCCTTGTCCAGAATAAAGTATCCCTTTCTCTCAAACTGGATGCTCTGCCCTTCAGCTAGCTCGGAAACATTACTGTCTGCAATAGCGAGCGTCTCGAATTGAGTGACGGGCGTGACGAACTTTTCAAACTCGTCGTCCTCTTCCAGCTTCTTCTTGGTGATGAGATAGTCATAGTCCAAAAGCAGCACTTCCGTCAACCTGCCGGAGCGCGGCGTGGCGCCGACAGGCGCATCGGCCAGCCATGTCACCTTCTTTTCCGTCTTCTTGAAGTCCCCGTCGAGGTGGGCTTCCATCTCGAGGGATGCAACGGAGCCATCCTCAGCCAGCTTCTTCGACCTCACATACACATTGCCCCAGTCCATTAGGGTGATCTGCGCGCAAAATGAGATCGTCGTGAGCATTAGTAGAGCTTTAAAGCGGCTGATTCGATCAGGCACAGCCATTCTCACCTCTTCATTGTCCTTGAAGCTTGCCGCATCGACTTGCTCGATGAAGCAATTCGGACCAAACACCGTCGTCTTCGTGCCCAGCTCAGCGTTCTTCTTGTGTCGAGGCAAAACCTTCTCGGAAACTTCAGAAATACCCGAGATTGTGCATTTGACACTATAGGCAGTAAAGGATGGGTCAGCAGTGCCCAAAGTCGTAATTCGAGTTGGGCCACACTCACAGATCCTTGGTCTCGAGGGCGGTGAAGCGCGGTACGATGGGGTCGATGATGCGCTTGTTGCCTGCCCAGATCGAGTCCCATTCCATGTTGATGACATTTTGCGAAGGACCGGTAGCGAGGATGAAGTTGTGCATGTTCTCGATGGTCATTCCGCGACGACGCACGCCTTTCAAGACGAGCAGCAGGCATCAGTCACGTGCATGCGGCAGCAAGTGAGCAGCAGCACTCACCTCTGACAGTTGGGAATCGGGGGTCGTCCCAGCCAGTGACGATACCACGATCGACGAACCACTGCAATTTGCGCTTCGACAACAGGGTGTAGACGAAGTTCAATCTCCCAAAGTCCCAAATCTCCACGTTTCGCAACTTTAGCTTTTCCAGCATCCACGCGTATTGCGGGTTCCTATCTCTGTACTCGTTGGTACGCAGGGCGTGGGTGATGCCTTCGAGAGCATCAACGACTGGACACGCAAAGTCGTACGTCGGATAGACTTTCCAGGTCGTTCTGGGAAGAGGAAGAAGCTCATGCATGGTCAGCACGTGCAACTTCGGCGCGCAGGGACGACTTCCAGCATAGCGCACCCGGTGCGGTGATGCGACACCTCCGCATTGCAGCGGTAGATGACTGGGTCGCGCAGAGCCTTGTTAGGATCATCCACGCTCATTTTGGCTCTCAAACACCACTTGCGTCCCTCCTCCGAACCAGCGCTCATGTCAGCAAATCGAGCCAAGTTGTCCTCGATGGACTCGTTCCTCCTGGCAGATGCGATGCCGTCCATTCGTTGCGCGCGCATCTATCAATAAGCACCGAGCGGGTTAGAAGGCCCTTCTTGCAGAAGCTCTGACATTGTTCGGCGGGTCACTTACTTCTTCTTGCAGCGTGTCATCAGCGTATGCATCTCCCTGCTTGATGAGCTGGATGGCTAGCTTGTAGATGTGATCAAAATAGTCCGACGTGTGACTTGTGCTGTCAGGCTTGATGCCAAGCAGGGCCAGATCCTCGATGATGGCATCTTGGAATTCGGTCTGCGCAAAGCAGGGTCAGCAGATGCTAGGGTGGGGCGAGCGTACATGAGTTGCTTGTGTGCAGGCAACCCACCTTCTCTTTGCTCGGGTTCGTATCATCGAAGCGTACGATAAGACGACCTTCGTACTCCTTGGCAAAGTAGCTGTTCAGAATAGCCGCCTTTGTGTGGCCAAGGTGGAGGTAACCACTGGGCTCGGGCGGGAATCTAGTGACCACCTGTCCCTTCTTTGCGCCTGGCAAGAAGACGTCGAAACCTGAGGATTTGGCAGCACCTGGTCCTTTGGCCTGTTCAGCAAGGAGCGCATTAGCTTGAGCGATGAGTGACGCAGTACGGTACAGTACGGTGACGGCGACTCGCCTTGGTGGATCGAGCACCGCGAAGATCCTCCTGCGTTTGAGCGACCAGTGGAAGTGACTCGATGTACGACGCCCATCTAGCCAAGTGCTTGTGCTGATTGGCTTTGATGAGTCCGGTAAATCCTGCTCCCGTCTTGAAGCTGGCCCAGATGATGATATCCGCTGCGGTAAGCGCGTGTCCTGTGCCCACCAGGAACGACCTCAAAGCGAGATGCTGGTCCAAATCGTCCGCCACACTTCCTACCTCTGCAAAAGACAGAGTGGGCAGCTTGGCCGCCGTATCGACGTAGTTCGAGATCTGCAGAATGCGATTATGCTGTGAGAATGATGTTTGGCTGAGCTTCGAGAGCGCTTCTTCGTCGGCTTACACACCTCTCCGCTGTCATGCGCATCCTTGCCTGCAACGCCAAAGGCCGCATAGAGGTCCAACAACTTTCTAATAATCTCTCCAGTGCCGGTCACCTCCTCCCCCGCGGGCTTCAGCACCAAATGAGCGGGTTGGCTGCCATCAGGAGTGAATTCGACGGGGAAAGGCTCAGCCAAGTGCTGGTTGATGTAATTTCGCAGCGACAGCAAGAGGTTGAGGGGCTCCGTCTTGGACAGCGCATGCACTCGCAGCACTGGAGCTGGTGGTGCAGACATGATGATGGGTGGGAATGTATGCGCAAGCTGTCCCTGCCTCACAATCGTAGTAATTGATCTTGCAGTCGTCTGTCGTGGCCGTCGTAAAGAAGCGCAAGAGGCATGTGGAGAGCGAGTGATCGGCCTTGAAGTAGACTCTTGGAGTTGTGGAGGAGGGCTTTTTGCGCGAGATGGACCACGCAGAAGCACACATCACCCAAACTCGTGACTTGCCTCAAATCTTGAATCCATGTTCGATGCATATGAATCCATCGAGTCACGTGTTGGTGAAGATTCTCGGCCGCGGTAGTCACGGCCGCTCGCGCTGTTATAGCCGTACGAAAGGCTGCAACTTCTCTACCCCACAGTCTGCGTGTGCCCTGCCATCACATGGATGTACTAGCGCCTGCACATGGATGTACCAGCAGGCGCTATAGCGCGAGCACCGGCATCGTCAGCCGCTGTGCTGCTCCCACGGTGGCTAGCATCTTGAAACTTAGTCGTGAGCGGAGCGCCGCGTGATTCATCAGGAAATCCAATCATGAAGGCTCAGCCGCTGCTCCTCAGACTCCAAAGGCAGAGGAGAGAAATCGGCAAAGAAGGACGCCAGAGAATCTCGCGCGAATCAGACACGACTGGGGAACAATGTGGATCACGAGTGTGGCAGGGGCAAACGGTTGTGTGGCCCCGCTTCATTTCAGGCAATGCTTTTCGTCTTTGGGCTCGTGACGAGTATGATGCTTTCCCTTAGAGCCGACCATCATCCTAGGGACTGGGCTAGACTATCAAACCCTGTGCTCCATACAACACAGAAAGTCGACGCTAAATATCCATCCACCTATGAGGAAGTCGTGACCGCAAACAGACGAGCCTGCAAGCATCCTCTTGGCCACTTGTCGAGGAGCGCTCATCATGACGACTGCTGTCCATGCTCAAGCGTCGCAAGTCGTCTATCCCAAGGATGTCAGCGCGGCAGATTACCTTCTCTCGTCTCCGATGAGTCATCACCTGCCGTCAGAATTCGAGCGGGCATCCCATCCTCACCACTTTTTCCAAGGCAAAGAGATCGATGATGAGACAACTTTTCTTTTGGACGCCGAAAAGCGTTTCAGCTTATCCTATGGCGCTTTCAAGACGCATGTGAGCCTGATCAGCGCCACACTGGGCAGGCTGGTCACAGAAGCAAGTGATCAGAAGCTTCCGAGCAAACATGTCGTGAGTGCAGTGGACAAGAGAGGTCGATGATAACGTGTTCCCGGGCTGAATCTCAGGCGATTGACCACCGCAGATTCATTCGCCGAAGACGACCGCGATCATACACGTTCCCAACTCGTTCGACTTTGCTGTATTGCTGCTAGGTACCATGTCTGCAGGCTTGACAGCAAGCCCGATTTCGACTCTGTTGACTTCGAGGGAAATAGCATACATGCTGTCCAAGGCTCGCCCGCGGATCATATTTACGACCCAAGGAGGTGGGGAGAAGAAGATGCGCGATGCTCTTAGGCTTGTCGGTGGTTCAGAGCCTGTGGCAAAGCCTGATCTCAAAGCTGCCGAACTCGACACGCTCGCTCGAGAGTGGGCCGCCGACTTCTCGTCGGATATCGAGCGCCGAATGTTCATCGTGCACACAGAGGGCGATGACGTTTACCCGACTCCGGCGTCATTGCTGTCAACCAGCACGTCGCCGAAAGATTGGCGAAGCCTATTGCAAGGCTCCGCGCCACCGCCACTTCCGTGCGCAATGGATGCCGAATTGCAAAGGAGGAGGGCAGCGATTCTTCTGTGGAGCTCAGGCACGACGGGTAGGTGCACGTGATGCGCAATTGCTTCTGATAGCCAGCCACATCTTCTGAACAGTGTTTGTCACTTTCTTGGCTTCGCACATAGGCTCTAGCAAAGGCGTGCTGCATTCACATGGGGGGATCATCTTCTCGACCGCAGCCTTGTGGCATACGTGGACGTGCTTTAGTGTGCCTGGACACGGACCGGAGGGTGAAGGAGAAAGATGGTTGGGGTTGGCACCGTGGTGCCACATCTTTGGCATGTTCACCGTGCTCTTTCCCGCCTTGGTAGCAGGTGCGACCATCATCCTGCCTCGACCCGGCACCAGATTTTCTCTCGAGGTATACATGCGCTTGCTAAAGCATCACAAAGTGACCGCAGGGCACGTCGCCCCGCCCGTTCTCGTCAGCATGCACAATTCTCCGCTCATGCAGCAAATCCACTTGCCTCATCTCAAGACTTGGTTCTCTGGCGGCGCACCGATTGCGCCCGACATCATTGCTTCCATCTGGGCAAAGACGCGCAAACTTGTTAGGTCGGGATATGGCACGACTGAAACCAGTCATGTGTCTAGTCCGCAATCTAGCTCCCTAGACGGTGCTGAAGCGCGACAAGCTCTGGGTAGCTGTGGTCCACCGACGCTGGGTGTCAGTGTGCGGGTACACGGCTCAGATGCATCAGTCCAGCATAAGGCAGCGTGGGCAAGGGAGTGGGAAGTGCAATGTGCGTCGAAAAGAACTCGAGGTTTGGCTGCGCCCGAAGTGGCCTCGGAGGTGCGACATGCTCCCGGGGAATTACTCGTGCAGAGCGAAGGGCTCATGCTAGGCTGTAAGTCGAATTTGCGCGGTAGTCTCGGGTTCGCCGTTGCTAAGGATGCAGCCTTTTGTTGTGCGCGCAGATTTCTCTGGATTCGGACACGAAGATGACCGAGGAGCTCTGGATGCTGAACTAAACGCTCACGCATTCACTCGAGAGGGTTGGTACAGGACCGGGGACGAAGGTGTCATTGACAAGCATGGTGAGTTCGCGTATCATTGCCGCGGTTCGCCTGCCTCCGGCTGATGCTCGTTCGGCTTCTAAGGCAACGTCTGGATCACCGGGCGCATCAAGGAGCTCATCAAAGTGAGCGGCTTCCAAGTCGCACCTGTGGAGCTGGACGCTCGTGAGTACAATCTCGCCGGCTACCTCTGCCAATCATGATGGCAAAAGCGCTTGCTGACAAATCACCAGAACCATCTGCTGGTAGTCTTTTCCACACATCCCGCCGTTGCAGATGCGGCCGCTTGCGGCACCACGGAGCGTCTGGTGCGAGCCAGCCAGCGCGGCGCGAGAGAGCGCTCGCAGCCAAATCTTCCAAGTGACGAGGAGGTGGTCATCATGTATCTTCAGCCTAAAGATCCCGGTGTGCTGAGATCCGAAGAAACACAGCAACAGCTCGTAGACGAAGTCTCCGCTTGGTCAAGTAGTCTATTGGCGTAGTGAGTGGACGACTTGACCAGCGAATTGCTCTTCAACTGAAATCACGATGTACGTGCCTCTTCAGCTACAAGCAGCCCCGATACATATGTTGGGTCCCAGTGTTGATCAAAAGCCCTACAGGAAAGGTGAGAACAGAGCGGGCCTTCAATTATCCTCGACTTGTGTGCCCTGTCAGCAAAGCTGACGGGCTTCTCTTTGTCCCCTCCTGCAATAGATCCTGCGAAAGGAGCTGAATGGGCTTCGTGGCATTAGGCACGAGATTGTACGGCACAGAGGGACAGCGAGGCAGTCATCACGATTGTGATTGCGCTGCAGCACGACGCTGTGTTGACGATGATGGCGTACGTGTGATGAGAGCGTCGACCTATTCGATATCTGTCGATGCCATCTGCTTTGCACATGTAAGATACTACAAAGAAAGCGTTCGATGTGAGCACAGCAAGTCTACTAGAGGGAGGTGCCGCATGTTTTCGCACGGTAACGACCTCAAAGAGCTTTCGGCAGCGCTCTTTCAGAAGCGGGCAAATCTGGAAACGTTGGGAGATGCGAGACATTATGACGCCTGAAGCTTGTCAACGCAGCCTTGCGACGCGCTATATACGCTTCTAAGAGCAATCTGCGCCTTTCGGTCTCTGAGAGCCGAACAGCTTTTGCTACATCACAGATTCTGAGGCTTGCGGTGAAGCGCCGCATCGATGCCTACATAAGCACGCAGGGATTAGTAGCAGTACTTGACAACTCCCATCCCTTCACCATCTCTCCTCGCCATTTTCTCACGTGCCTTCCACTTTCCCGCAACTCTTCAGCACCATCGACTTCGACATGCAGTGGACTGATCTTGTGATCGCTGCGGTGCTTGTCGCCATGGCATCCACTGATGTCCTTGCTACAGGCAACATCGGCGAGATCTACACGATGCAGAAGCTCAATTCGCCAACTTTTGATATGCTGGGTGAGTCCAACTTCAATTGCTCGGCTTTGATCTGCAAAGACGCTTTCCTCTCCATCTGCATTGCTCACACCTCTCGGCCGCCTGATGGTTCACTGTCAGATGTGATCCACACTGGCACTGCCGCTGAAGGAGCAAAGGATGTCTTTCAGTACAACTGTGCCAAACTGATCAAGCAGAAAGGTGGTGTAACGTATACGAACCATTATAGGCGTAGCAGGTTGCAGGACGACAGAGGCTCCGCCGTCTGTATCCTTCGCACCACTGCAGCAGACGGCGCGATGTGAGTGCATCTCTTGCTGCTCCTCCCTACCAGACATCAAGCGCACGTCTCATCTATGCCGCCTCGGGCTCCATTCTTCAGTCTGACTGAGCAGTCAGTTCTCGACGAAGTCCTCAAGAGTATTGGATGGAGCTTCGGGGATACTGCTTGAGAAGGTGGTCAATTACAAGCCAGTCGAGTGTCGCGCAATGATGCATGATCAACGCACGTCGATGATCGAGTCACTTTGAGTCTGATTGCTTTGAGTGAGGCTAGTGTGAAGGGAAGAGAAGGAAGGGTTGATGGATGTGGGCAAGGGAACACTATCTACACGCCGAGGCGAGTCGAGTAGCGGTCGGTTCATGAGCCGTCCCCAGTGACACCTAATTCCAATCATCGTCGATACCCCAACCCAATTTCTTGGCGACCGGGAGCGTGATGTCTTCCGAGGCGCTTCAAATTTGCACCCAAGTCATCGTTGGAAATGCACCAGCCAATCAGCTCATACGATCAGAACCATCACCCTGTGGCTAGTCTCTTGAAGCGACTCACATGCCATTATCACCACCGAGCTGATGATTGACATTGCAGACTGCCAGGCCATAACCAGCGGCGGGCTGATTGGCACGATCCGTATGGCTCGTCTTGTAGTGGTTTGCGAAAGCCAAGCCATCCTTGATGTTCTTGAGAGCTTTAGCGCAGCTGTACTGCCATACGATCTTGGCATCCCCGTCGGCTATACCGAAGTGCTGCAGTTCTACAGAGAAGTCGACGTCAAGTGAGTTGATGGTATTCCATTCTGTCTTTGCGTGAAGCCCATCCTTCGCGCGTGGCTCTGAATGTGAATGAAGCACTCACTGCGAAGATCTTTGATGGTAGAATTTCTGTACTTGTCGGCTGTCCAAGCTGCTCCGGGGTCGGCTGAGACTTTGCCTACAACCAAGGCCAAGACAATGGCCAGCGATGCGACGCAATGAGCGAGCTGCATCTTGCTGATGAACGGATTTAGATGAGGGCAAGTCTGAACGGAACAGCTGAGTTGAAAAGGCGAGGTGAGCGTAAAGATGAATTGTGGACAGATCTTGCCCCGCAGTCTCGCTTTTGAAGGAGAAGCGAACGTGCCGAAAGGAGGGTAAGGTGCTTCGAAGCGCCGCGCACAGTGTAGTGCTACCCAAAGGCCTGGATGGAAAGGCGCGGAGTAAAAGTGAGGCCAAGTAGTTGCAGATACAGCTGTGAGGCTGCTCGTGCCTTCGTCTATACGGCCCGGTCTCCCTGCCACGACAAGGATGATCTTTTCGCACCCTACGGTGTAGCTAGGCTCGTTTAGGCTGCGAGACGCAAGCGATTTGCGCAGCCTGAATCTGGCGAGTGTTCTTCCGTGCAAGTCCGGTGGGTCCCGGGTAATGAAAGATTTGATGAGGTTCGTTGCAGGCTCCGTTGAGGGCTCATGGCTATCAGCACACGAAAGCAGCAGGTGAGGGGACTTGTCAAATTACCAGGCGTTGATGGAGCAGCACTGGCGTCAGCGCGGTCCTCAAAGACGCCGAACAATTGGGCGTGCGATGCTGCTCTCGTCATCGAGGCGCCGTCGAAACGCTTCGGAATTCCGAAAGTGTATTAATCAGCGGGCCCAGCAACGGCCCGTGAGCGGTCCTGATTCAGGCGCAAATGAGTCGCACTTACTGATTCATAGCTTCCGAGCAGAACATCGGCTGCGGTTCCAAACACACGGTCCGTCGCTTCCGGGCACCGGGGCACGGTTCGAATGACGTCTGTAAAGGATGCTGAGCGAGTATATAGGCATCTTGGCCTGCCTTTGATTGTACCGTACCGCGGACCGCATGCCTGCATCAGTGTCTTTCAATGGATGCGCAAGGAGCTGTTGAGCGTTTTGCTCGATTCCCGTGGTCAGTCGCGGTGCAGAGCGTGAAGAATAGCCCGTCCGGGCCGGGCCGGTCCAGGTCAGACTAGCTGTCTGCGCTGCGCAATGGATGATGGCCTTTTCAGTCTCGCACTAATGCGGCAGACTGGCGCAACATGGCAACAGATTTGTTGATCGCTGCTCATCGCCGGATCTGACGGGTACATCTCTCTGGCACCCATTCGTCGTTGCAACTAGAGGAGCAGACATGGCGCTCTGTTAAATAGGTGCACCAGGAGGAACAGTGAGCCCTCCGGACGTGCAGAAGTCGACCCTTGGCCTCCAAAATCCAAGCATCCCTCCCAAACCTCACACACTTGCCGCCACCTCCTCGATCAGAGATGCGTTCCATCGCTCCCATCCTTTCGCTGGTGATTGCCTTCGCGATGGCCACCTACGTCCAGGCACAAATGCCGAACAGACGCCTATTCAGTGAGTGTCGCGACCCGGTGCGCGTGCAACGAGGTGCGATTTGACGCTGACAGCATCACCCTTCTACCTTGCAGGGATTGAATATCCCGCAGGTCGCCGCGCAGACGCCAAAGCGTGGTGGCAAGGTGCTTGCTCGCTCGTCCTTCAAGACAAAGATTTGGCTTTCAACAACTACTTTCGCGTCATGAAAGACGAATCGAAGACGTACGGTGTGGGTCAATGCGTGTCTGGCAACGAAGTGGGGTGAGCGAATGATGTGCTTGGCTAGTGCGTGCGAGCATCGGTGCAGCGGCTTACTTCTTCTGCGCTATGCCCTTCACACTAGCCAAATCGACCCCAAGAATGCGGGCGATATCGCCGCGCACGTCGTCACCAAGACGCATGTACCAGAGGTCCTCGAGCGCCTCGGAAAGGGATGGAGCATTCACCAGACCAATTGAGGCACCCAGCTCGAAACGAAAGACTAAATCCAGACGTGCGCGGCGACAATCTGTGCCGTTCGGATCACGCGCATCTTGACATCCTTTGTACTTGCAAAGTTGATAGGGCGCGTCCCCTCTGCCCGCCAAATGGTCGATGTCATTAGCGTCCTCTCGCATGGTCTAAATGCGTTTGGTGTATAGGGGTGTTCGTATCGTTTCAGTCGACTCCTCCATGGTGAATAGCACGTCGCTGATCACGTCGCTATAGGGCGGTCGTGAGACTGTACTGTGATCCCATGAACCTAAGGCACAAAGTGTTGTTCGGGCGAAGCTGACGCGTGAGGCGTGCGAGGCGTCGGCGGCTTGTGCTGCTTCCAGCCAGTACTGGAGCTGTCACCACTCGGTATCCACTGCAGGTGTGGGAGTGGAGGGGGTGCACATGTATCATGTGTCAAAGGATGCCGATACTGAATAGTTGGCGAGAGGTGCAGGGCACTGTCCGTGGGGGGAACAAAGCAGTGTTGCGGGGATTGCAGCATCGGCAGTGCGGCTTGATCTGGGTGCCGCAAAACAGCAGACGGGGGTGCAGATTGCGGTAGTGGCAGAAGAGGAAGTTGAGTAGCACTGCTGCCCGAATGCAGCCCACGACCGCTTTCTGTCTGGGTCGCGAGGACGACATCGTTCGCAGACACGATGGGACCGCGCTCCAAGCCTGCGAATGCTGGGTCGGAAGAGATGCTCAAGTCGAGCTCTCGAGTAATGGTGTCAAATGATTCTGGAAGAAGCATACACTCTTCGAGACCGAAAGAGTCTATCCAGGGTCCTTGCCCTTCGCGCATTGATCCGCGGACCTGGGAGAAGATGACGTCGAGCTGCGAAGGACCTTGTCTCCAAAGCCAGTCATCGACGTTTCCAGGAAGAACGTAAGGAGTGAATTCGTGCCGAGTCGGTGGCCGCACGTTCGTCGAAGTCTGTCACGTGCCAAAATTGTAGCCTTGAGCCGAACCCCATAGAGGGCGTACATCAAAATGCTTACCTGAGGAATGATGTCGCCATGGGAGAGAGCCGCAAGCATTGCGTCTTCGTCGGCAGCATTGATAGGCCCCCTATTAGCTTGGGGTCGAGCTTGAGCGTGAGAGGAATCCGGTACTGATGAAAGAAGATTCAAGACTGGTCGAACGATGCCCAACGAATTAGGGACACAATTTAGCTGATGAGGGTCGTCGAGTCTACTCACGCTTCCTCAGCTGTGGTTTGGACTTGCAAAGAGCATCCAGCAACTTGTAACCTGCGAGAGCAAGCGCGACATCAAAGTGCGAGTCGATACAGCCCATGTCGGTCAATGGAATGACTCACCGACAGCGGCAAGTTCGTTGTGAGGCGCTCGCTCCTCGAAAAGTTTGAGAATCTTCCGCACAAGGTCTTCGCGTCAGCCCGCGTTTCGGCGTCCTCTGGGCAGAGGCGCGTCTTTGCTCACCTCACGAACTTGTTCCAATGACCAAGACTTGTCAAAGCTATCCAAAACTGGATCGTCTCCGTCGTCTTGCACCAGCAGAGCGATGAAAGTAGTGGCAGCTGCAAAGAGCGCGAACCTTTAGTGCGCGCGAGTCGTTTCGGCATGCATCTCTCCGGCTTACCAGAGTAGAGCTCCTGACAATGAAGCAGTAAGGGGACGTTGCGATGGTGATCGAGACTAAAATCTTTCCTGTACAAAGGGGAGTCGTGGCTGCATCGGCAAGTGAGGCGAAGGCTTCGAGACGAAGGGGCTCACATCGTTGGCAGCATCTTCGTGACAGCACCAGCCGAGTCGAGTGCTCCGATGCGAAGGCGAACGGGTGCCGCTCTATCCGTCAAGAATGGTCGTAGGAGGACGTTGCGTGCATACTGGCTCTGGCTCTCCATAATGAGTGCAGGCGTGACCAAGCGCAGCACGGTTGGATCGCCTAGCGCTCTACCTCTCTGCACATTGTCAAAGCGAAAGTACTCGGGCAGCTCGTTTCGAACTTTGACGCATTCTTCGTCGAGCGACATGGCTTTGGAATAACGTTCGCCAGCGGGGAGCTCCGCCATGACGTGGATGAAGCTGAGGATCTTCGAGACGACGTTCGAGCTTCCATGCATGGCGACTTGATAGTCATGCACGAACACGTTTGCAATGTCGTTGGAAACCTCGTCTAGTGGCCGAACAGGGAGCACAGCACCGGTGTGGACGTCGTAGCGATCGTCTGGCAGGTATTCGGCCTGAGAGGCAGTGCGGCTTCCGCGATCAGCACTGCGCATTGCGCTTGAGCTCCATGAAGGTCAGCAACGCACTCGGCACACCTTGAAAGACTCGGCGCTGATGTCGCAAGGTCGTCGCTGGCGAAGAGCAAACCCTGGGCCGAAGCACTAGAGCCGCTGTGAGCCTGCACGAGCGCTTGCGGAATGCATTCCTTACTCACAACGATCCCAGGCAAACAACTGCCATGCCGCACGTCGGTACATTTCAGTCTTGAACGGGCTGTGAAGGGCGGGGCGGTGGTAAAATCTAACACAACCTGGCACGACAAGAAGCATAGCCACCCACCTGACCGGTCGGAGCCACTTCGTCTCATTGAAGAGGCGCAAAGCGCTTGCGCAGCGCAAAGCGTTGCCTAGGCGAAAGTACGCCGACGCAATGTCGCTTCGTTCCGAGTGTACGCAATGATACATCACTAGGATCGTCTCGACTTGCAAGCGCTGGAAAAGGTTGTCGGCCGATGTTGTGACGCTGCCTAGACGTCGATCGAGTATTTGACCCGCGAGATCCGCGTACTGAGGATACTGACGAGGCAGCAAATCTGCTTGAACGCCTTGCGAGGATGGCAGGTATCTCGACATACTGATGGTCGCAAAAAGACAAGCGACGAAGAGTGGCGACACGGGCTTGTCGTACAAGACAAGGGCCTCAAGAGTAGTCTGAAAGGATCGCCAGTGAATGCCAGGTGTGGACCACATGTGTCTGTAAATTACCTTTGCACAGACCGTCATGGTCTCGAGCGGGCCGGGCAGCAGATGAGCAATGTCACGGTGCGATATCGCATCTGCTTCGAAAAGAACTCTGCGCTCGCACTCGAGCTGACGCAAGGTGGCGACTTCCGACTTGAGTTGGGCATTGAGCAGCTCTTGTGCTTGAAGTCGACCAGCAAGGATCGCCTCTGACTGTTGCGGGCTACCAGACGGCATACTTGTAGGCCCCCGCGGTTCCGCACTTGCCGCGTGGCATCGTTGTGCGTCGGTCCGGGGGGAGAGAGCGCTGGAAGATTCTCGCTTGCGCTTTGCGCCTCCGTAAACAGCACCGATGCCGGCGCTGTCATACTCGTGGTTTTGCGTGCCTAATGATCCAGCCGGCCAGACGTTGCTGATGGCGCGCTGTGCAGCAGATGGACGCGATGTCCCTTTGCTCCTGCCGGCCGTCGTTGCCCCTTCAGGAAGCTCGTCGCAGGTGTAACAGAGGTACTCTGTGCCGCGCAAAACGCAAGACGAGCAGGGCTGCAGGAGTAGGAAGAAGGCAAAGTGAGAAGACAGCTGGGAATGACTCGTCCCGCGCTCCAGCCGCACGTACGCACAGCATTGCGATCACATTTCGACTTGCGTTTTCGGCTGCGCGTGTAACGGGCTGAACGTGAGCAAGCGATTGCTGGAAGAAGACCCAGACGGGCAGAAGGCTCGCGCACCATGGCAGACAGCTCATCTTTGGACTGTCTTTATCCACTCCGGCAACTTCTTGTGGTGCCGGATTCTGCGTTGGACTAAGATCTCCGCCTGTACCTGGAACCGATGTTCCCGCCATTGCAGACGGACCCATGTTCAGAATGGGCTCAAGCTTGCTTGTGGAGATGTCAGTAGTCTGTACCCCTTGTAGAGCCTCTGTCGAGAAGAGGAAAGAGCTTCAGGCCGAGGCGTGCGTCACACATTTGCCAGGAAGGGCTTGGAGCATTGTAGAAAGCCCACGGAGGGGGCTGTGCAAGTATCGGATCGAGGCTGGAGGGAGGAGTGATGGTGGATTTATAAGAAACTCTTGCAAAGATTTTGACGCTGCCTGTGATGTGATACATGACTCAACACTGGAATCATGGCCCCGCCGATCGTTCATCGGAGCAAGAAGAGGGAGAGGGCAAGACTTGCATTCAAATCCTGTGTTGTGTCTCAAATCTGGGTGTTGCGTGGTCCATGCAAAGGCATGCGTCGAGCGCTCAGGAACGCCGCGCCACCGTCGGTGTCTACGCTTGATGAGGCCAGACTAGCCAATGATGAGTGGCAGTGATCATGTGCCGCCGGTCGACGCGCGAGGAGGGCTCGGTATGTGATGTTGTGTGCAACCGAGGGCGCACTATTGAAACTTAAGACTGCCACACCACCTTGGCGGGAAGAGCCAAGGCTGCATGTTCAGGTACTCAGAATGCACGTCATGACTGACGAGGTTGTTGTGGCGGCCGCAAATGAAGCGCGGTACGAGCACGTCTCCGCGATATCCTTGCGAAAACTCTACGCGTTTGCGTACTTTGCCAAGACTTTTCTAGCAACGCATTTGGTGGGCCCTCGCACTGTGAAGCGGGTTTTGCGTGGTTGTCTTGGGTGTGAAATGCTTAAGCGAATGTTCTTGATCTTCGCGGGTGCGCCAATGAAAGCGGACATCGTCGAGCTCAGAGACATCTTCGATGTTGAGATTGCCAGTTTAATTGACTGGCCTTCGAAAGTGGCTGTGTGCGATATATACTACCTGAAATCAACGCCGGTCCTTTGGGAAACGACTTGGCGGTTCACCCAGCGAAATCGCAGAGAGCTGGTCCCTGCGCTCCTAGATACGAATGATCGCTGCACGTAAACAGCCAACGGGACCTATCGTCTGCGCAACCGTGGCCAATGAGCGTGTGAAGGGTCAATGGCTGCGCGCGTCGGCTCCGAGTGGCGGCCAAGAGGAGGGAAGAAAGAGCCCAAAATTGGGGTCGGGTGGGGTGGACACGTTTTCTGGAGGTATCAAGCACTGTGGAAGATAGAGGTAAGATGGCGATCCTGCGGGAAAAGGTATTGCCGCTCCCGACCTCGGGGAACCAGTGGCCCGTCGAGCGACCAGGGTGCTGTGACGCCTGATCTCACGTGCTAAGTGGCGATTGCTCAGCGCTGCTGGCTATCCGTATCTCATGCGGCGGCCTCGACCAGGCGAGAAGTCCAAAGCGTGGCAGTGCCACGAAGCGTGGTCCAAATCAAAGCCAAGACGTTGTGCGTAGCATTGAAGGCCTGGTCAGCGTTGATAGAATCAGGGAGGTATTTGATGCCCAGATCCATATCTTGCGCACAGCCACGCACACTGCTCTCTCCCTGTGCGTGCTTGGGGTGGAGCTCGACCATGCTGAGTCAGGAGGTGCTGTGGAATGTCGCCTCTTCGTATCACCTTGTCTTGCCTGACCGAGTTCCGGTCGTGTGGCACCCCTCGCAACTGTGCTCAGTGCAATCTAATGTGATAGGCTGACTTATTCGTCGCTTTGAGACACGGGACCTGGGTAACGGGGGTTTTCTAGAGGCTCCACGTGAAGCCGCTTGCTGAGTACGCGAGGCGTACGTGATCTGCTTGCGCTGTCGTCGCCGCTCTTTCCGGCCGCGCGTGCGGAAATGATCTGTACCGCCACAGTATGAAGGAACGACTACAGGGAAAGTCTTGTTGTCCGGTGCGGATCGTCGCTTCCTCGTCGCGCCAAGGCTGCCCGATCGAGCAGCGGTACATGATACGCGTCAAGCCTATTGACTGAAAGCACAGCGGTGCCCTTTGGTGGACGGCTCAAGTTGGAGCAAACTGCTGGTGCTCACTAGTCTGAGGTCGCCATCACATGACGCACACCTCCGACCGATCAGACTTGCGTGGCAAAGATCCTGGTGACATGACGCAGCTGCAGTCGCATGACATCCAGAATTTCGACGATTGCTTCGAGGCAAGTCACCAGTGGTCAATCTCGGTGCACCCCGGTCTCACCTCGCGGGAGCTGTGTTGCCCCGAACCTCGACCGACAAGCATTCACCAACTTTGTGATTACGCGGCGCTTGTTCTCCCCCTGCTCATCCAGATCTGGACAGAACGACACCGTATTATTGCGCTGTGAATAACAGCTCCCTCTAGATCGTCGCATTTCCGGAAACGGAACACGTTTTGAGGCGGTGGATGAGCTCAGCAGCGCCACTCACTTCGACGAGTATTGATGCCATATCCGGCCAAGCAATCGCGAGTGGTTGATCTGCGCATCCCACTTGGCAGACACTGTAGCTGCTCGCTGCCAAATCCAGTGCTTCTGAAAGCGCGGGTTCCGTACTTTTGCGCTTGAGATGGGCCCCATCCCTTGACACTTGTCTAAGCTGATGGTTGATGTGAAGAGTAGAGTTCCCTTCGGACGCATACATGCACCCTTTGTTGACGTGGGAAACTCATCAACCTCTTGGCGCCTACCGATAAGCGAGCAGGTTGGCTTTGTGACGTGCACGTGATGATGCCACACCGCGCCGCATACACGTGATCATCAAAATTGTGCAGGCTGGGCTAGGCGACCGTCCACAAAGTTGAATTCACGATTTGATCCCAAGACACGCGTTGGAGTCGTGAGTTGTGACTTCAATCTCACCACTCACGGCTCACGGCTCACGGCTCACGACACTCTTCTGTCTCCTCCGGCTTGCGAGTATCTCACCCCCACACCTTCGATACACCTCTATTTGGATCTCACCTCCTCTGCCTTCCGCTGCAAGAAGACTGTCAGCCAGACATTAGTGTGGAGATAGGCGAGTGGCACATCATCCTCTCGCCCTTTTTGGCCGACCCCGGCGGAATCGCATCCCTTGGTTAGGTGAGTCAAAGCGAAGGGTGCGTTATGCGACTTGTATCTTCACTTCTAAAACACCTCTGCGCTACGTCTCGCGATACTGTGTAGGCATTCCATACGCCATCACTCAGAGAGCGGAAAACAGCGTCGAAGCTGCCAAGGACTCACCAAGGGCCGACTATCCATCAGACTATTCATCCGCTCAAAGCCTACACAATGTCGTACAGCGGGCAGTCAGGCGCGGCAGCATTCACTCAGGGAGGAGGAGGTCAAGGAGGATCAGGCTTTGGAGGTGCATTTGGAGGAAGCAGGCAACAGACTGCGATGGAGTACATCTGTGCAGATTGCTCTGCTATCAACGAGATCAGACCACGAGAGCCAATCAGATGCAGAGAGTGCGGTCATCGTATCATGTACAAGAAGAGGACGAAGCGTATGCTTCACTTCGAGGCTAGGTGATCGAGTGTAGGCGGGTGGAGGTCAGGTGCGAAAATAGCATCGAATCCTGCAAGGATCAGGACGCAGGATGGTATAGCGTCATCACGACTATCGCCCAGCGCCGACAAATCCGTCGCCACTAGGCAGACTCTAATATCCGACCTCCGCAAGCAAAGGCACAATCGTCACCAGTCTCAGCCTCTTTATGAGCGGTATGCGACTCCTTGGACGGTCTTTCGACTTCATTCGAGGCAGCTTCAGATGACCAGCCACCAAGTTTCTGTGTCCCAAGTACTTTGAAATAGGGATACATGCGTCATCGGTCACGAGAGGAAAAGAGTGTGCGCGCATCCGTATCCGTCTTGGAGCAAAATGGAAGCATTTACGCTCGGGGACCGTCTTACCTGAATGCTCGAGACCGGGTAAGTCGTCTGCACAGAAGCGCTCGGGCGCGTCAAGACAGCCCGCACAGGTGTCGGGAGAGCGCCTGCTCGATTCAGAACGTTAAAGGCCTTCGGGCGGGAACGAGCGTATGCTTCACTGTCGCGCTCGAGCGTTGCACGCGCCCTTGAACAAGGCCCGGAGATCGGGACAGCCGAGCCTGAAGCAGTCAGCTGTGACGCCGCGGGAACAGCGCCTGTGATCAGCCGTGTGCACAGCCAACCTTTGGGCCTTGGCACGTGTGGTGGCTTTTGCGCCGCAAATCTCAGGACGGGATGATCATTTGCGTGACATTAAGCGGCAGACGCATCGTGTGTGTGGGATTTGCAGGCAGCGTGATCCAAGAGCTGGTATGGAAGCATTCTATAGCTCAGAAAGTCTCCTCCTCATCCCCGAGAACACCCTTCGGTCAGCCATGGAAGAAGTTTGGTGTCAATGCGCGCTGACGCAACAAGGGGAACTGGCTTGGAGACTCACCTCCTGCCCCTCTGGCACCTCGAAGCCTTCCTCAGTCGAGTATAGAATCGCCTGGATCTGCTTGAGCGTTTCGAGCTCGAGATTGTTATCAGCCGCGGGTTCCTCTCCAGTCTCGAGCAGCTCGAGTCGACCCTGGACCAAAACCTCGATGTCGCGAAGCTGTGCATACATGCAAGCGAATCAGCAAACCTTACCAGCGCTACTGGCATGCTCTCGTGTTCGGCCATGTTCGGCTATAGCAAAGCACTCACCTTGGCAAAGTAGAAGTCGCGCTCCTTCTCGAGCGAGTCTACGCTCAACTTCATCTCGTCCATCTGACCAGTCAGCGCCGCGATCGTCTCATCCGGAATACCTCTGGCGCCAGCTGCGCCAACTCGAGCTCCTCTGGTCGCGCTGGCAGCCGCACCTCTCACTGGCGCTCTCGTAGCAGCAGCGGCAGGTCTCGTCGCGGCCGGTCTAGTAGCAGCGGCAGGAGCACGTGCAGCCCCGCCCAAACGCGCACCTCCTACAGTCGTCGCCCCCAAAAGAGGTGGTGGGGCTGCTGGCGCCCCTCCCCTCCTGGCCTCTGGGTCATAATCATCATCTGGCATGTGCGCATCCCAGTACTTTTTGAGCCATTGAAGAAATTCCAAGTTGTCTTGCATCTTGCACTTGATCAACCTCTCCACCGGAATCGGCTGCGGAGTTCATGACGGGACGCAAGGGTCAAGTCAGCTCGCTTCGCGACCTCCTTGATGCTTTTCGTGAGCTTCAGTTGGACTTGGCATCGCCTCGCGTCACGCACCTTGTCGATTCGGTTCTTCTTGAACGCCTCCTGCATGACCTTGTAGTTGTTGACATATTCGTACTCGGCCTTCGCTGCGAAGTTGAGCTTGTGAAGAGGAACGTTGCGGTAGATGCTGTCGATGACCTGTGTGTATGCGGCACCTAGGGGGAAATATGGAGTGAAAGAAGTCAGGACGCTGCTGTTCCCACCTCGCTGCAAGAGCGTCGAGCGCGCAAGCTACTCCTCGTCACGCAACGCACCCGTGCCGCACTGTTCCACCTTCGTGTAACCGATTTGCAACAACTCGTTGAGCCACTGGATCAGCTCCGTGCGTGATTCGCCCATCCTTGTGAGAGCCTCGAGGCAGCCGTTGGATATGAGATATCGTGAAAGTGTTTCAGGGGTCGCAGTCCATAGACTTGGGCCTTTGATGACGTTGACGCTGCTCGACGCTCCCTATGTGGACGTGAGTCACGAGTTTTGATTGCGCTGATGGGAAGGTTGGATTCGCCCTCGGGAAATGGCGTGCCAAGACGCGCTCTCTGGTGTGTTGTTGTGCTCGTGCGCGATCGACATCACACGGCACCCACGCAAAGCTCGACGCGCCAGACGCGGGGCGCAAAGCCCACGTGGCTGGCTCGAGCCGAGAGCCTAGCGCGACGCATACATACAAGTAGTATACCCGTGATGGATGGATCCACTCATTCACGACTCTTGACCCCCAAGAGCCTCGAGGTCGTCTGAACTCACGACTCTCACTCTCGACTCATCCATCAGCTGGTCTTCGATCTTTCAGCCAGCCCACAAAGGACCACAGCAGCTGATGCGAGGCAGAATGCCCCGTCCAGCTTTTGACCCTCCCGTCCCTCGCACCATCTTGCACTCAATCCACTAGGCGAGTTGCTGTTGTAGAGGGGGCAATGGGTACCCCCGTCCCTCCTCGTCGATTCGCTGCAGCTGGCCAATCGACCAATCCCTGCAAGAGGTCTTGGTGGAACTTTGCAAGATGGCTGTGTTGATGGGGTTGCCGAGCGCTTGCTGGCCCAAGTCGTCCGATATTGCTACGACACGGGCGTCAGAACGGGGGCAATCCTTACAGGATCTATGCTGAGGGTCATCGACATCGATGGAGATGCGTCGGAGGCAATGCAAATCACCTTGCGAACACCGATCATTGCGGCCCCCTAGCGCTCGTGAGCTTCAAGCAAGTCTTCCTCGGCCCGCTATTGAATCAAGATACAGCATGCTCGCGCAGCTTGTCGCGTTCACACTTCACGCAATGGACCGTGCCCAGCGCCTTGAACCACGTCCACCTCCCAGGGATACGACGCGGATGGTCGCAACTTGGGTCACACAGCACTCTCCAATCCAGCAAGTATCATGGCCCCAAGGTCAGGTTCAGCCTGGACCTGTCACGCGGTCGCGCGTGACTTCTGCTAACCAGAATGGTGGCTGCAGGTCTTACCAGGATAAAGCAGACCTTGCCAAAGATCCGGGCCACGGCGTTTCGAGATCGACACAAGCTGTCTTCATCGTCGACCGGCCTCTGTTCCGTGGATTGTGCGCAACTGTACACAGCGCCTCGTGCGAAGGCGCGGCTCATAAGCTTCTTGCAAAAGTTTATCGGCTGCCGCACCCAGACGAGGTGGACCTTATGGACTTCACTGAGGAGCAAATCAACGAGGTACAGCTCGAATCGATTGCACGTCATGAGGCCACGATTTACGGACTTCTCTGGGCTGTCCAAGGCGCTTGCGTGCCTCGCCTCCTGGCCACGCTTTCACGTCGGCCTGATCATTGGAGAGTTGCGCAAGAGCCAAGCAAAGAGTCCTGCTGCTGGACATCAACACCTCCACTATCAGCGTCCAACATCAGCTCGCCGTCGCTCACAGACTCCCCTGGGTCCTCCAAGAAGCTTGGTACCAACACACCTGCCCCAAGCGTGGAAGTGCATGCACTGTTACTTGAGGATGTCGGCAAAGTTCTGGCCTCTCACACTTTGAAAGATTTGCAGCACACGCTTGCTACCTGTGGCTACACGCAGGCACTTTCTGGCAGCTCCTCAAAAGAAGTGCAGGACAAAGCTATTGGCGCCATCCAAGCTGTTTTTGTGCATTCTGCTCAACAAATACACAAATGTGGTGTCCTTCACCGAGATGTGGCCGCAAGAATTCTGTGTCTCAGAGTGGTCGATGGGACGTTGCAAGGCGTCTTCTAAACTTTCACATGGCCTGTCCCGTGAACACGTTCGACCAACCCAAGGAAGCTTTCGAACAAGAAATAAAGAACGTCAGCGACGAGTTAGAGCGTACGCTGCTAAGGCTCTTTAAAGAGAAGGCGAACCCCTAGGCTGACCTTTCGTTGGAGGGTGAGCAAAGCCAAACAAAGGATCTTGACTTACATACCACCTAACACCAAATCAACTCGGCACTTTCAGACCAACCATTCTCGGCGTCACCATGAGCTCCCACCCAAGTCACTTTTACACATGCATGTCACCCTACAGCCGCAATGACCCTACGCGATCCATGGCTTCTCAGTGCATTTTCGATGGCGCTGTTCCGGAGTGTCTTTGCGCTCCGTTTCTTGGAGGCGACGGCGAATAAACAAGCTGGGAGAGTCGAGGTGGCCGCTCGAGCCAAAACGGCTGCCTGGCCATTGCAAATCCCGTATGGGGCTTGCTTGCAGGGGCTCGAGTGTGCGACGTCGCTGTATAGCTTGTCCTTTCGACGTGCACGGATGCCCTAGCGAAGCACTTGGCAGTGCGGTAAAGCTGTGCGCGAACCTAGCGAGCCCTCTTTGGTGTGCTTAGTTGGGTGTGAGCGTGATGATGATACACACGTCCGAGTAGTCTGAAGTGTGGTGCGCGGGTTGTGAGTTCTGGTGCGAAAGCTTGGAGTAAGGGACAGGGCCCACGTGCTTGGCATGACACCGCCCTTGCCTCTTCATCAGCCTTTCTTTCATTACTCTTGGCCTTCACCTTCCCTTCTTTTGTGGAGTTCAAGAGTGATTAGGTGGCACTACTCGTGACTATGCGCATGCAGGGTCTATATACGTCGCTGCGAAGGTGTGAGTGCGCACGCCGATCGTGCACGGCCCCGCACCGTACAAACCAGCTACCGTAGTAGTAGTCGCGCGGTGTGAGCCGTTCCTGCGGCGCGGCTATAGGCCTATACCGGTACATACTCACTCGCGACTAAAGCTCCTGCTGCTGCGCATCACGCTGCGTTCTGCATCTTAAAAAGATAAAAAGGCAGCAATTAAGCTGGATGGACCCTGCCAAACTCCACACCCGACTCATCATCCAGCAGGAGCATGCAGCAAGCATGCAGCTGGTGCATGCTCGCTCGCTCGCTCGGGCCAAAATGATCGAGACGCGGAAGCGAAAGCGAAAGCGGAATGCACAGCCACATGCATGCACGGACGCCTCGCTGCTGATGGCTCGAAAGCGCCGGAAGAGCATGGGATCGCGATCGTTGGCAGCTAGCTAGCTTTAGCGAGTCATTTCCAAACTTCCGTTTCTTTCTTCTTTGCTGACCAGACCAGCAATCACAATCACAATCGCGTATCACTGAATGTGAATGATGGAGGGTGGGGGCGATGCGCAGCTAGCGGGGATTGTGGAGGTGTGCATGCATGGTTGGCGATGTCGAGAATTGCCTTTGAACGAATGGAACAGCACAAGAGGGAATGATGAGCCGGCCGCGTAGCATCCCAGCAGTCGTGAGTCTGATTGAGTATTCATTCGATTCCAATCATCAACAACGCTCACGCTCGGAGAGCTCGCCGAGAAGGAGAAGGGCGCACAAGTATGTCCGATGCCCGAAGTCACGCTCGCGCAACATGCACCGGCGCTGCGCAACGCTTTGCCTCGCTCATCGTGCTTGCCTCTGTGATGAATTCGAGCAGCGCTTCTCAACCTGCGTCACACCTCGACTCGGTCTAAGGCCATGGGTGTATTGCCGTGTGCGTGGAATCGCGCAGCTGCCCGGATATTATTGGATGCTTTGAAGA